TCTCTCTCTCTCTCTCTCTCTCTCTCTCTCTCTCTCTCTCTCTCTCTCTCTCTCTCTCTCTCTCTCTCTCTCTCTCTCTCTCTCTCTCTCCCTGGTGCTTCACTACAGACTAAGAGGTCTACCCAACTCTCTATGGCAACAAATTTCTGTCGTTTCAGGTGTATTGCAGTGTGGTGATTTCTGACGACTTGGCTGACATCAGACTCCCGAACCCCCCAGCATAAATGGCCACGGCACTTCATGATCGCCATTTCAAATTCAGTCAACTGTCAACAACTGTCGTAAGCTTACCGAACTGAGCATACAAGCTTACCTAGGCTGGCAAAACCCCCTAGGCGTCTGCTCTCTTGGCATCACCTGTCTGTCGTCTCGCATAACGAACCGCACACCCCTGATTGCTGTAGAGAGTCCAGAAACTGCTTGGAAACGACGGGGAGCAGAGCAGTAAGTAACCTATGGCTCTGCTGCGCAGAGAGTAAAACCCCGTGCCACAACAACCATGTACTAACAGATGAGATCCAGACTGGTGAACAAGGCCAGGGTATAGATACGTGGCACCGATTCTAACAATGTGCAAGGCACATTGAGGGTGATGCAGCCCCTCGCACCTACCCCTTCTTCTTCCCTCTGATATCACCAGCAGCTAGCTCGCTCACACACCCAACACCAAGAGAGTCAAATCTCTTTTTCCGCTCGTCAGCTCTCCTGACAACCTGGCATAGAGATTACGAAGAGGAAATGGCGAACGTAAGTGCAGCTTGTCCTGTCCTGTGCTGTCGGCAGACTTGCACCACCTTACGTGAATTACATGAACGCATGTGCATTCTCAACATGTCCTACACCATCTTCACACATGACAAAAGTGTCACAACAACAACAACAAAAAAAAAAAACAAAAAAAAAAACCCACAAAGAAATTCAAAGAAAGAAGAAGTCTAATGGGCCATGTTTGGGAATGATTAACCCAAGTCGATTAGACTCGATCCTCCGCAGTAAATAACTGTCTGTTCTCCGCAGTAAATAACGGTCTATTTCTGCACTCGAGTAGACGTGTGGTCGTGGTTTACCCGAATGAAGAACTCAACGAATACCTGCACTCACTCGCTGAAGGAGAGTTTTTCAACACACACCTTGACAAGCGATGAAGACGAACTCGCGCACAGCAGGAAAATCGATGAAGATCGAGGCACATTACTCAGCCGCAATGTAATAACTTTGTTTACATATGTGCCTCAATGTTACATAGGTGCCGACCGTGCCGTGGTACGATGAAAATGTACCAATTTCCATTCATATTCTCCATCCGCACTCGTTCTCCTCTCCCACACTCGAGTCTCGTTAGAGGTGGTCACAACCGGACCCTTTGCTGCTTGGGACAACCGCACGTATCCGACAATTGCCGCATTCTCGCCGAGCAATCTAACCCACGGTGAGCAGATTCTACTAATCACCCTCTCGTCGTCTTGAGTATTCTGATCGACCGTATCAAGCCAGAGTAAATGGAACGGGATACCCTCGACCAAGTGCCCTGTTCAATCACATATTAAGTATTATCAACACATTAAAGCAAAAAAAAGAAAAAAAAGAAAAAAAGAATCAGCACATAGAAGTTGATAGAACCACCAACAAATGGCATTGCCGCTCCCCACGAATATATTGCAGCTGTTTTCATACAA